CTTCCTGCTGTCAGGGCTGGCTGTGCTGGGCGCAAGGGGACGTCACCAGCGCTACGGTGCATCTCTTCTCTAGTCCAAATCATTTCACATCCTTTGTAGAATAGCTAGCGACTTCAGAGAGCTTTATGGCTTATGGAAACTTACTGTTTAATGTTGTTTTGTTTTTTTTTCCGGGAAGACTGGCAGGTCAGTTCCTGCTTGCTGCTGAAACTGGGGAAATGCAAGCCGCTTGTGTTTCTGCGTAACTCCTGCACAAAGGGAATTGAGACAACTCCTCAGAGCTGTTGAGAGAGAAGATAATCTAAGGGCATTCGTAACATTTTTTTTAAACAGAATTTAAAAAAAAAATGGTAATGACGTTCAGTATATTAAGTATTTATCATGTGTGAGAAGGAAAATAAATCTTGAATTTACATTTATAGGCCTTCCCGTGAGCTGGACGTAGTCCTGTAGATTGTGTAAGTAGGGTTACCTCCGTGCCAGCCGCCCAGCCAGCTACAGCTGTAACCAGAAAGGTATCTGCACTGCTCTGTCCACCTCCGCTTCGCATTGTCACGTGTTAACTAGCTACTTGTCTCATGAAAAATAAACTGTGAATATTTTTGGTGCAGGCTTTTTTTAAATCTGTAAAATGGAGAAGTTCTCAATGAATTCTCATAAGTGCAGGTTTGAAAAAAACACTTCTCTAAATTTTGTGCCCAAATAGTAGGGTGAGGCTCACAGCAGCAGCAGCTTTTCATGCACAGGGCTCTTTACCCAAAAGCTTGTCTTGAACAGTGAATGTGGATTGAACCATTGCATGGCATTTCAGACCTACAGCCTTACTCCTTGATTCTGACCATACCCCACCTCTCGTCTCCCTTCATACCTTTTCCATGAGGTTTCTGGCTTGCTACCTTCCAGCTACTGTTGGAGAGTTGACTTCAGTGTAGCAAGGAGTCTGCTCAGTAAAACTAACGTTTGTAGATGCCATTGAAGGAAGAAGCCAACAAGCCACTTTGCCCTCGCCGGGCCCCTGGGCAATGCTCTGTCAGGTCAGGAGGGCTTATTCACGTGTACGCAGGGCTTGCAGAGGGAGTAATGGTGCTGTTAGGACCATTGAGGTGTGCTGGGTCACCTCAACAAGACGGGCAAGGCCTGACCAGGCCAGACGTGCAAATTGGTCCCAGCAGCCCTGCCCTGCCCAGCCTGCCTTCGTCGGCAGGGAGCCAAGCATGGGCTGAGGAACAGCTCCAGGCAGCAAAGGCCAAGCAAATTAAATGTGGGATTCTTCAGCTCGTGCTGTTTGTGGCAGCTGGTAGCACTGCCTTGTTAGGAGGAAAGGGAATGTCTGTACCAAAGTAGTTGGGTTCATTTTCTGCAGTTTTATTGCTGTCTTAAGAATTCAGCCACTGTGACTCACTGAGGGTTTTTTTAAGGTAGAGGGAAAGCAACAGATAATACATACCCCTGGCAGACCATTCCTGCAGCAGAGACTGCTGCACTCTGCTCTGGCTGCCCAGGCCCTTGGGATGGGCTTGACCACCTTTGCTGCATTTTTTCCGTGTTGGAGGGATTCAGTCACCAGGCCACTAACAGTCTCAGGTCAGCTCTAATTGCATCCAGGGTGGGTGAGAGGTGACTCTTGTGTTGAGTCACTGTTGTGGAGAGCTGTAGGAGCAGAATCAAGGGTATAATTATTTCTGGTCAGAGCTGTGCACCTTTCCCTGCTGTCCCAGGGGAGCTCATGGAAACTTTACAGGTTCATGAGAATATTCCCACACATAGGAATGGCTCCTACTGGAATTCCCAGTTCTGAAGGGGATGGAGGTTTTGCTCCCATACAAATGCTTCACCGGTCAGTGTCCTTGCTGTCAGGATAGCCTGGCTGTCCCAGCCCAGAGCGACCAGAGCAGGTTGCTGGCTGTCATCTCCCTCCCACAGCAGGACCCGCTTCAGTGGTGGATTTCCATGGTGGGCAGGAGTGTCCTGACTGACTTTTGGTGATGGAGGAGCTCTGGTGAGGGACTCATGTAGAGGGCAGGAGTGAGCATGCCTGTGGGATGCATGGGCAGGAGGGGAGGGGACGGAACGGGACAGGGGATGCCATCCTGTGTGGCTCATCCTATCTACACCAGGTCACTGTCAGCCAAGGCTCTGGTAAATCTAGCAGAATAAGCGACCCCTGTAAAGGGTAGTCCCCTACACCCATCATCACACATACTCCCTAGCCTATGGCAGGTTTCTGGCTTGCAGTTCCCAAGCTAAAACTTTCCTATTTAACAAAAACTGCCACAAGAACCAGCGTCACTTCAATGCACAAAATATCCAGGTGGTCCTGTAGGCATATGTGTTGCTGTTCAGGATTAAAGCCCCACAGGGGCAGGCTTCGTTTTTGAAGGTATGGGCTCTTAAAAGTTCTGGAGATAAGAGAGGCGATTGAATCTGAAGGAACTGAGTAGTTAGCTGAGACAATGTGGATTGACAGTGCTAGAAGAGCTTCAGCTCAGTTTCACAGGAAAAAAGCCCTAATTTGGCAACAGTTTAACCTGAGCATGCTGTGGGTGGGCACTTCTACCTGGCATGGCAGTCAGTGTTGTGACAGGGCTGGGGGCGTTTGAGAAACCTCAGACCTTTGACACCTTCCATTTATTTTTAATTTCAGCCTTAACTTCTGATTTTGCTTGGTGTTTGAAATAACCGTAACTGTAACCTGCTTGTAATGTGCTTTGCCCTAAATTACTGATGAGGCTTTGCCAGACAGTGAGTGTTAAAGCAAAGTGGCAAGCTGTGCATCTACTCGGAAAGCAGAGAGGGGCCAGCGAGGGCTCGAGCTGCATGCGATTGCCTGGACTTTGTCCCCAGCGGTGACCCCCCTGCAGTGTCAGTGATGCTGGTGGCAGCGCTCACAGCTGCGGCCGTGCCTGGTGGCAGCGTGGCCAGGGCTGGCGGGTGTTTGGGGCGCCCAGGGGCTGGCAGATGGGATGCTGGAGCTCAGGGACTGCTCTGCCGCTTGCCAGGCTTCAGCAGGAGTCTCGCCCATGGGGTGGCAGTGCCCTCGCTTAGCAGGAGGTGGGAAAAGGCAAGATTTCTGCTCCGCGGCCTCCAAAACCGATCTGAGCGAAGGCCGGCGCGTGAGCTTGGGCTGGAGAAGTGGCGGTGATCCCTACAGCACTGAATCTACCTCCTAGGGAAATCTGAGAAATGGGTGTTGCGATGTCCTATTTCAAGGTAAAGTTTTAATCAGTTTGCCCTCGGCGAAGCACTTGGGCTATTGTGGTGCTATTGTAAACGTTTGGCAGCTTAGCACAGTAGGGCTGAACTCACGGCTCCAAGCCTGTGGGCTGGGGGTTTATTTGCCGGCTGAATCCCATCCCCAGCTCAGCTGGGGTTAAGCTTTGGCACGTGTGTTGGAAACAGGACAAGACATGACTCGGTTCCTTGAATTTGATGGTTTTGAGACTCAAACCAGTGTGCCAGTGGGCCCTGTGGCAGAGGGAGTGAGTGGAGGCACGTGAAGCAAGGCAGGCGTCTGCTAACTGCATGTTTTTTGTGTCCATTTGGTACTGAGCTGGTTTCAGGTTTTGATTTTTTTTTTCCTGACATTTCTGAGTTGTTGACTTCAAGGAACTGAGTTTTGTGTATTTTTTTTAGACACTGGGAACTTGTTAAAAGGAAAAGCAGCAGCACCGGGAGGCTCAAAGTGGAGCGTGGCCAGAGCTGAGGCTGGCCCCGGCCTATCGTGGGTGGGAGGAGGCGAGGGGTGTGGGCACAGGCAGGGAGCAGGCAGCTCTCCCCGCGGCAGGCAGGAGCTCTTCAGCCACAGCACCAGAGTTCATCGCCTGCCAGCCTGCTCACCCACAAGGTACCAGACGTTTTGGATACCGCGCCTGGTGCTGAATGTCCCCTTGTGCTCTTGGTTGGGGTCTTGGCTGCCGGCTGGGCTGAGGGTCCTGGAGAGGGTCGTCCTCAAGGCCGGGGACATGGGGGGCCTACCCGTGTCAGTGGCTGAAGCTGCGAGCAGGAGGTTTGCTGGGAGAGCGCAGGAAGCCTTGGTGCAAGCAGCCCCACGCCACATTCATCCCCCACCGAGGTCTGCTG